CCCCCGCCACAGGGCTCGGGACCCCCAGCGCGGAGCAGGGGGTTTGCTCAGCTGGGTGCTGGGGCAGGCAGAGGGGCCTCGGTCGCTGGACGGAGCTGGGGAGCTTGGCATAGGCCAGCGACAGATGGTCCCACGCTCCAGGAGACAGCACCTGCCACGCAGCTCCCTCCAGCTTGATCCTTATCTAAGCCCCGGCGTGAGATTTTCATGCTGCTGGAGCGTGGCAGGAACCCGGGGGGTAAAACCAGGTCATGGAGCCCCAGGGGCGGGCAGGGACGGTCACCTAACTGGAGCCTCCCTCCACACGCTCCCTTCTCCTGGTCCATCACCTGCCCACAGTGGGACGGGGCAGCGGGCAGCACCTCGGGGCAGAGCCGCGGCCAGCTCAGCCATCACAGCATCACCAGGACACCCGGACCCCTCCCAAAAAGGGGGGTTTCTGCCTTCGGCAAGTCACACAACCGGCTGCCAAAAAATCCTGAAGTCTTGCATAACCTCAGCTGCACTGACAAAAGCAGGGCACCATTTACAAACAATGCAAAAGAGGATTTATTGAAACCATTCCGGTTAGATCAAGTCCTGCCGGGCACGATTTGCAGTAAGTTAAAGAACCAAACCAAATGGTCTTAGTGTTAAAAAACACGCTGATACGTAACACAGTGATCTACGCCATCATCACCCATCTGAGTTATTGAATCAAGGCACAAAGTCATTTGTTAAATACTGAAAAAAAAACAATTACACAGGGAAATTAGCTGGGGAAAGGACTTGTTTTGCTAAGAAGACGCTGGTTTGGCACTGATGCGTTTAATTGAGCTGCCACGGGGAAATCTGCGTTTCCGAATTAATGGACAACTTAAAGCCAGAAAAGCCCCCCAAAGCTGAAAATCCACGTCTCCCAAAGGAACGTTCAGCGTGCCCACGGGAAAAGTCGGGTCTGCGTAGGGATTGGAGGCGGGAGAGGGCTGAGACGCTGGACAGAGAGCAGCACCTGAAGATCCTCACCTGGCACCGCTTCAATTCCGGGGGCAGGGAAGGAGTGCAGAGCTCTAGCTGGAGAGAGCTCTCTTCCCCGGGCGGCTCGTGCCCGTTGTCCAGCCTGCCCACCTCCCGGCAGAGGGGACGGCGCTCAGAGAAGGCTCCTCAGCAGCTGCAAGGCCGAACGAGCATTTGCAAGGGAGCTGGCGTTGCCACTCGTGTACAGGGCCCCCCAGAGCGACAAGCCAAGCTCCCAGGCAAAGTTAAAGTGCAATTCTACTCTGAAAAAATGTCCTAGCTCCCCTGGCACCTCCAAACGGTGAGGAGAGGCGGTGTCTGTACCGGCAGGGACCAGCCAGCCTG